TGAATATTCTCCCTCAGACGCCTCAGGGTGTTACACTAGACCTCTGCCTTTACAGTCTGATCCTGAGGAACTAATTCACAGTAGTCAACCACATGGATGTTGAAGAAAACAACAAGCATACTCCTGGTGCTCCTGACATGATGCAAATTTTGCAACAAGAGGAGCAGGAAAAAACAAACGGAACCCATAAAAAATAGCCTTAACATACCGACAGCCTTGGATTTTGACTCTGACATGACATTTTATGTCACAAATCAGGATAACAGCGTATTATCTGACTGAACAATCTGACAGATTGGCTACGTTCAGACTGCAGGACTTGATGCTCAATTCAGATTTTTTTGTGAAATCCATTTTTTTTGCAAGTTCGTTCACATTTCCAATTAAATGTGACTTGTATGTGATCTGCTGTGTGATCTGCTGTGTGAACTTCATACGACCCAAAGTGTCCCGCATGCGCAGAAGAGGACACGACGACGTCACGCCATGAGCGTGATGGTGGCGGCGAGGGAGTGATGCTGTCGCCGCTGCTGCTGCCACCGATGGTGGAAGCAGAGCTGTGACCGCTAACTGAACTGGCATCAGCAGTCAAGTACTGCCTGTACATACCGGCCACCCCGTCTGAGCGCACCCCCAGGGTGGAAGTGCCCCCCCGACGGCACCGAATATTCTGATATTCATTATTAATTGGGCCTGAATATCCAGAGAGCAGAAAGTGCTATTGGGACCAGCCCTACTAGTTATTATAACAACTATGAACAATAATTAACAACAAATGAGCTTCCAAGCATCAAGCCCTCCTTGTATCTCGACCTCCGTCTTGACAATCCAACAGCCTTGCTATCCGACATCAAAGCAGGTTTTACATTTAGTGTCGGATTATCGACTGTATTTTCTTTACTCTCTGTGTATTTTTTTCTAAATGCTGTGCCTGTTGCCAAATGAAGTGAAGAAGTTTTCATGATTTGCCCGTTTTATCTGTCTGCATCACCACTGCATGAAACTAATCAAAAGTTTAAAAAGATTTACAGAAGAGCAATGAGTGCTCAGCCCTTCATTCAAAGGTAATGAGTAACACCCCTTTACTGTCTGTGTTCATAGGGTCTGAATTAACTTCAACCACAATGCCACCAACAACCACACCGACGAAGACAACCACGAGTCCAGCAGCAATAACTACAATGAGGACAACAACAACTGTAACAACCACAACAAGACAGAAATTAAATACAACAACCACAGCGAGCGCAACAACAACAAAGACAAGCAGTGGCCCAAACAGTAGTGCCACCATCATATTAATTCACAGGTTTATCATGTGTTTACTGCTTCTATTCCTTGCTTTGGTTTGAGCTGTTTGTGTTCAGAACTACAACATGTAATCAAAGAATATGTTTGGATAGTAAAAGATATCGTAACCATTTCCTACCTAGCTCCCATCTGATGTTCGTACGATGCAGACAGACTTAGAGGCAGCCTGCTGTGAAAAATGCTTGTTTTCTGATGTTTAACCACTAGAGGGCGTTAGTTTGTAAGTGAGCACAGAGCCTATTCTAATAATTAATAAGTGAGAGTGACTTTATTCAATAGACGATTAAAAACCCAGCCGTGCTAGAGGCATCATCGTGCTGATGTTTTGTGGATATAATGTTCTGAATGAAGTCAGGGAATCACCACAGTCATTACATTTAATTCTGTGGGAGTCACTGGTGTCTGTGCCTAAATTTGGGCCAACCCATCTAATAAATGTTGAGCTATTCCACATTGAACAGTAAATGTGAACATCACTGAGGCCCTTTAGGAAAAGTCAAGTGTACCAGTTTTATAATTCATCGTCTGAGGATCATGAATAACAAAGTGATGGACTGACAGACCAACATCAGAGCCAGTCCACACTGCTGGCATGCTTCTAAATACATGTAAGAAGTGTCAATAAAGCTTTGATGCTGCCATCGGTGTGTTTTAAGTTTCTGATGTTTTAACAGTATGTTGATGTTTTATTCACTCAAGTCTCCATGTGTAGTTTCTGAATATTCCAAACTTCAGCACCTCCTAGTGGTGCTGCTGTATTGTAGTATCTAGCAGTAATGTTCAACAGAAAACACCAACTTGGAGCCAAAATGTCTCAATACAACATATTCTGGTAAATCTGGGACTTTGTGGAAACTTCAACTTACCTGCAAAATCCTTTCTATCCAGTCACAGTGTTCTCTTTGTATTTAAAGTGACTCTTGTAGGTGATTATATTCTATATGTTATAATGTTGTG